TCTTCTCCCTCCGTCCGAGGACGTCATCCTGTTCATTCCCTTACTCACAAACCTTACTTTAGCCGTTGTATCCTTACTTCTTCCATTTTTAATTTATATTTTTCCTTATTCATGAGACCCTCCCTATACACAAGCACTCTATCCGTCTTAATATATTCATTCTCCTCTTCTTTCACATTTTTCTCCATTTGTTTCACTTATTTTTTTCCACTCTCGGCCAACCTTCAAGATCTAGCAAGCGTCCAAATGATCATGCCTATCGCGCGCGATAACGTTGAGGGAGGGCGGGATGGGCAAGCACCGGAAAAATCCTCCTCAGACTCTGGTTGTCCATCGCGAGGTTCGAGGAACGGAGCCGAGCCCGTCCGGACGCCGGTATAAAACCGAGGAATTGCGCGCCTCCAATTCACCACTACATCCAGCACTTATCCGACAGAAGGTTGAGATGCTTACCTTACGTTTGACACACTTGCTGGCGGCTGTGCTATGGTTGTCGTAAATCTTTTATTAATCTGTGCACTTTTCTCCATATTATTTACGTTATCATAATGAATGCTTAGGAATAATTTGTGCTTCAGGATTTTACTTTATTCCAAGTATTAGTGGTTTTCATTGAAGATAAAGAGATCACGTAAATCCAAATACCCAAATATCCATAGGAAGAGATTTGTCTTTCTTGATTTATTCATCTATTCTCTATTTCCAATTCTGTCAGTCAATAGCATCTTGAACCGCTTCTAAGTCACAGGGTATCTGAGTCATTTTTGTGCTGCGTCCTGGCGGTGTTTCACGCCCACGGAGGCAGACCCTTGAGGCTTCCCTGGCGGAGTCCCCGGAGTTTCCCTGGTCGGACGTCCTGGCGGCTTCCCCTGGCTGGAGTCCCTGGAGGGTGCCCTGGTGGAGTCCCTGAGGATTTCCTGGCGGGAAACCCGAGCTTCCCCTAGCGTCACAGCCCCACCCGCCACCTGTAAGCGCTGGGGCCGAACTCCAGAACGCAAGCTTACTGCTGCGAAACCGCTGCGTTTGAACCTGAGGCTCCCGTCTGGCAAAAAAACCAAAAAAAAAGCCACTTAACTGCCCACGATTTCCGTGACACCTCCCACCGTACGTTTCTGGTTGGACAGCCACCAGTAACCCTGCTACATCACTACACGTGCGGCGGCCTTGACAATGTTTCTTCTTCGACAGTTTTGGGAGAACAACGTGTGCAAGCCACCTTCCTTCTATAACCAGTTCGGTTTGAAAACGAAAATTAGACCTTTTATATCATTCCTGTAATATCCATACGTATAAATGTTTTGTTTTCAAACCTGAGTTCATTGGCTTTACCCAGTCACTAAGCTTCGTGCTCATCTTAACCGTTCGGGTTTCACTCATTCATCACTTTGCTTTTTTTTTTTTTTTTTTGTTTTTTTTCTTTTTTTTTTTTTTTTTTTTGTTTTTTTTTTTTTTTTTTTTTTTTTGTTTTTTACTTTTGGGATTAAATTAGGCGTATTTTTGTTTACTCACGTGATCCTTTTCGTTTATAGTTCATCTCACTAAATTAACTCAGCTCGGATACTCGTCTTGTTTTGCTCGCCTATTGCCGTTATTTACATCTCATTTTTGACATTTATCTATCATGTTCATTAACTAGGTCACTAGTTCTCTGTACCGCAACGAAGCGTTGAGATACAGGGTTATCTTTCGTCGCCTTCATTTCCCGTTTCCCTGTATCACTTTTCAACATTATTATTAGGCTCTCTTTCGCTTAAACATTCTCTGAGGAATCCCTAATCTTCGTCTCACTTCTGTATCATCTGGTTATTATTCTGCATCTCATCGGTTTCAACATGAATGTACCTAAAGAAGCATAGATCATATAGGTTTTCGTACTTGATTCACTTACACCACACACGCTTTCATCAATCGTCTACAAAGATGAAAACATGCCAGGGTACAGTAGTTTTTTTTCCCCGTTGGAGGGTATATTCAAAGTGCTATACACATATTTATTTTTTATCATGCCAGTAATATCTTTACTATTTTTGGAATTCCTCTAAGCCCTCTGCATTCTTTCTATAACGATTTGCTGTTTATCGATGAATAAGAAGTTCACTGGAGCGAAATTATAATGCATCAGCAAACTTATTAAATAAACACAGAAAAAAATTGTTGATTTGCTCTCGAGTTAAATCGAATGTACGCTAGACTAATATTTTGTCAGATTTTATGCGTTTATTCCTCAGCAAGGTAGACGAATAACTACAAACAGTTGCAAGAATAGCCAGTCACCATGTAAAACTGGCGCAGATCCATACATGTATTACGTAACAAAAATAAACCACACTCTTTGATGACCAGCTACGTGTAAAAAAAAAAGAAAAAAAAACAAAAAAAAAACGACTTTTTCCTAGTGTTACCTGCCGCTTTCAACATTGCCCGTGATTTGGCAACATTATGTTTAACGTTGGCAATATTGCTTTAAACACTGGTAGGATCCATAAGGTTAACAAAGGAGAAAAACAGAAATACGTACAGAGAGAGTCTTGGGACAGAAAGTTCATGAAGGTTTCCTGAATATGTAAGCGAACGACGTGAATGAGACTGTAGATAAAAATCATAGAAAAAAGTAATTATAATATATACATAAAACGAAAGTACAAGAAGAGAATTGAGAGCATGAGAAGAAACAAGGAGAATGAGAGGGAAAGCCAAGAGCAATGTGGAATAAGGAATATACCAGCAGAGTGATTGCACTCGATGCATTTCGATACGATCCCTCTCGCCTTTTTATTTACTCACATTCCTCATCTTGGTTTACGTCCCTTATTAACATTCGTTATTCTACATTTCATACATCCATACATACTTACTTGATATACTCTTACTCTCTATTAATCACGCGCATCTTCATATACGTGATCACGTTATCGTATTCTTTATCTCATACATCTTATCTTTATTCGACCATCTTCACATCGAACATCGTCTTACGGTTTGTCATCCCTCTGAATTGACTCACTGACTCATCTTGCATACTCATATTCATACACTCACTTCTTCATCTTAGTTTACTTATTCATCTCTGCTCAGTTCTCTTTTTCTCCTCAATGAATCATTTTGATGTATTCAACTTCATATACCCATTTACCCAATTAATTATCTCACCCTGCGTGGTTTGCTCACTCTTAATTGATATTCATATAATTACTTACTCAGATACGCTTACTCAATTTTGATTTTCTCGTTTGCTTGTTTTGAATTATCAACTCATCATTGCACATGTTGCTTTACTCACTTGTTTTGGTTCACGTACTCGGAAATATTTATTTACACCTTCCTTCCGTTACGTACATTTTCTTTTTTTTCTCACTTATCTTGTTTTCCTTGTCTTGTCCTCTAGCTTTATTCATTTGCCTTGGTTCACTTAGTCATCTCTATTTACTCGCTTAGGTTTACCAATATCACTTATTGTGAATCAGGCGTACACATCATGCACCCCCCATTATCATTATCCATCAGTTAATGTTCCTCTTCGTTCTCTTTCTTCTCACTCTCGTCCTCTCATCCTGTTAATTCCCTTACTTCACATACTTACTTTAGCCTGTTGTATCACTTACTTCTTCCATTTTTAATTTATGATTTCCTTATTTATGAGACCCTCCCCCCTCCCTATACACAAGCACATCTATTAATATATTCATTCTCTCTCTTTCAAATTTTCTCTCCACTTGTTTTCACTTATTTTTTTCCATCTCGGCCAACCTTCAAGATCCTGACAGCGTCCAAAATGATAATGCAATATCGCGCGTAACGTTGGAGGGAGGGAGGGGGCAAGCAACGGGGAAAATCCTCTCAGACTCTGGGTTTTCCTCGCGAGCTTCGAGGAACGGAGCCGAGCCAGTCCGGACGGCCGGGTATAAAACGAGGATTGCGCGCCTCCAAGTCACACTAACATCCAGCACTTTCGACATGAAGGTGAGTGCTTACCTTACGTTTTGACACACGTGGTGGCGGCTGTGCTATGGTTGTCGTAAATCTTGTATTAATCTGGTGCCTTTTCTCCATATTAATTTACTTTATTCATAATGAATGCTAGGAAATATTTGTGCCTTCAGGATTTTACTTTATTCCAAAGGATTAGTGTTTTTCATTGAAGATAAAGAGATCAACAGTGAATTCAAATACACCAAATATCCATAGGAAAGATTTGTGTTCTTGATTTATTCATCTATTTCTCTATTTCCAATTCTGGTCAAAGTCAATAGCAATCTTGACACAGCTTCCTAATTCACAGGGTATCGGAGTCATTCTGTGCTGCGTCCTGGCGGTGGTTTCAGCCCACGGAGGCAGACCTGGAGGCTTCCCTGGTGGAGTCGCCGGAGGTTTCCCTGGCGGAGTCTCTGGCGGCTTCCCTGGTGGAGTCCCTGGAGGTTTCCCTGGCGGAGTCCCTGGAGGATTTCCTGGCGGACAACCCGGAGGCTTCCCTAGCGTCACAGCCCCACCCGCCACCTGTAGGCGATGGTGCAGAACTCCAGAACAGCAAGCTTACTGCTGCGAAACGGCGTTTGAACCTGAGGCGCCCGTCGGCACCAAGCCACTTAACTGCCCACGAGTCCGTGACACCTGCCCACCAGTACGTTTTGGTGGACAGCCACCAGTAACCTGCTCCAGCGACTACAAGTGCGGCGGCCTTGACAAGTGTTGCTTCGACAGGTGTTTGGGAGAACACGTGTGCAAGCCACCTTCCTTCTATAACCAGTTCGGTTGAAAACGAAAATTAAACCTATTTATTCATTCCTGTAATATCCATGACTAATAAATGTTTTGTTTTCAAACCTGATTCTATTGGATTACCCAGTCACTAAGCTTCGTGCTCATCTTAACCGTTTGTGGTTCACTCATTCAATCACTTTCTTTTTTTTTTTTTTTTTTCTTTTCTTTTCTTTTCTTTTTTTTTACTTTTGTGGTTAGAGTTTAGGCTTATCTTTGTTTACTCACTTGATCCCTTTTCGTTATTAGTTCATCTCAGCTCATTAACTCATCTCGGGATACTCGTCTTGTTTTGCTCGCCTATTCTGGTTTATTTACAATCTCATTTTGACATTTATCTATCATAGTTCATTAACTAGGTCACTTTAGTTTACTCTGTACCTCTGAATAAGCATTAAGATACATGGTTATCTTTCGTCGCCTTCATTTCCCGTTGCCTGTATCACTTTTCAACTTATTATTAGTCTCTCTTTCTGCTTAAACATTTCTCCTGAGAGGAATCACTAATATTCTTCTCACTTCCTGTACTCATATTGTATTATTCTGCATCTCTCTGGTTTCAACATGATATACCTAAATAAGCAATGAGATACATAATGAGGTTTCGTACTTGATTCACTTACAACCACACCTTTCATCGTCTACAAAGATAAATGCCAGGGTAGCGTAGTTTTTTTTCCCCGTTGGAGGGTATATCAAAGTGCTATACAAATATTTGATTTTTATCATTCCAGTATATCATCTTACTATTTTGGAAGCCATCTCATTATTTCTATAAGGATATTGCGGTTTATCGATGAATAGAAGTTCACTGGAAGCGAAATTATAAATGCATCAGCAAACTTATTAAATAAACACAGAAAAAAATGTTGATTTGCTCTCGAATTAAATCGAATGTACGCTAGACTAATATTTTGTCAGATTTTATGCGTTTATTCCTCAGCAAGGTAGACGAATAACTACAAACAGTTGCAAAGCCGTCAAATGTAAAACACTGGCGCAGATCCATACATGTATTACGTAACAAAAATAAACCACACATTTTGGTGACCAGCTACGCGTAAAAAAAGAAAGAAAAAAAAAGAGTTTTTCCTACTGCTTTCAACATTGCCCGTGATTTGGCAACATTATGCTTAACGTTAGCAATATTGCTTTAAACACTGGTAGGATACATAAGGTTGAAAGAGACAGAAATACGTGAAAGAGTGAGTATTGGTGGAGAGATACTTTTCATGAAAGATTAGAAAGGGTTCATGAATATGTAGAAGTGAAAGACGTGTGAAGGAGACTGTAGATAAAGAAAGAAATTAGAGGAAAAAAGTAATTATAGATATACAATAAAAACGAAGAGCAAAGAGGGAAGAGATGGAGAGAATTGAAAAGAAGAAAAACTAAGGAGAATGAAGAGGGAAAGCCAAGAGAAATGGTGGGAATAAACGGAATATAAATCAAGAGGGTGAGTGCACTATATGCAGTTAGATACATATACATCTCTCCTTTTTATTTACTCACTTCCTCATCTTGGTTTACTCACTTTATTACATTAGTTATTCATACATTTTCATACATTCATACATACTTACTAACCTTCGGTTACTCAGTTATTTTATAATTTATTCACTCTTTACCATCTACTTGCTTACCCACTCATATAACCCCTCATGATTTACTCACTGACTCCCCTGGTTTACTAAAACTCGTCTTGATTTACTCACCGACACTTATAGTTTGCTATTTTTTTCTTGATTGCTAATGATCCATCTACTCATTTATTTGATGTATACTCACTATCTTAGTAATTCAATCATTCTTCATAAATATGAATTTATATTATTTATTATTCATAATCTTATCTTTATTCACACATCTTCATCTAACCATCCGTCTTGGTTTGTTCCATCCATCTGATTGACTCACTGAATATGCTTGAATAATCATATCATACACTCACTTCATTCTTAGTTTACTTATTCATCTCTGCTCACTTCTCTTTTTCGTCTCAATGAATCATTTTGATGTATTCAACTTCATATACCCATTTACCCAATTAATTATCTCACCCTGCGTGGTTTGTTCACTCTTAATTGATTCACTGACTCATTTTCATGTAATTACTTACTCAGATACGTTTACTCACTTAATTTTGATTTTCTGATTTACTTGTTTTGAATTATCAACTCATCATTGCATATGTTGCTTTACTTACTTGTTTTTGTTCACGTACTCGGAAATATTTATGTACACCTTCCTTCCGTTACCTACATTTTCCTTTTTTGTCTCTCACTTATCATGTTTTCCTCGCCTTGTCCTCTAATTTTATTCATTTGTCTTGGTTCACTTAGTCGTCTCTATTTACTCACTTAGGTTTACATCTCATTATGTGAATCAGGCGTACAATAATTGAATCCCATATGTCATTATCATCAGTTAAGTTCCTCTTCGTTCTCTTCTTCCTCGCTCTCGTCTCTCACTGTTCAATCCCTTAATTCACATACCTTAGCCTGTATATACTTACTTCATTTTTTTATTTAGATTTCCTTATTTATGAGACCCTCCCCCCTCCCTATACACAAGCACATCTATCTCTTAATATATTCATTCTCTCTCACATTTTCTCTCCATTTGTTTTCACTTATTTTTTCCATCTCGGCCAACCTTCAAGATCCTGACGGCGTCCAAAATGGTAATGCAATATCGCGCGTAAACGTTTTGGAGGGAGGGAGGGAGGAGGCAAGCACCGGGAAAAATCCTCTCAGACTCTGGGTTTTCCTCGCGAGGTTCGAGGC